GAAACCATCTGTATATACCTGTTTGTACTTGCACTAGGCAGATACTAGGAATGCAACAACTCTGTGCCAATGTAGGTAGTCCTCGACTTACGACCACAACTGAGCCCAAAATGTATGTTGCGAAGGGAGACGTTTGTTAAGTGGGTTTTGATTCCTTTTACAACTTTTCTTGCCACATTTGTTAAGGGAACCACTGCGGTTGTTAAATTAGTTGCACCCTTGTTCAGTGAATCCGGCTTTCCCATTGACTTTGCTTGTCAGAAGGTCACAAAAGGTGAAAAAGAAAACTTCACATCAACCCGGGACCCTTCAACCATCATAAATATGAATCGGTTGCCAAACGCCTGGATTTTGATCATGTTACAACGGTCATACGTGTGAAAAATAGTCACATCACTTTTTTTTTCCAGTGCCATAACTTCAAACAGTTACTACGTGAACTGCTGTTCTCTTATTAGCTGTGAAAACGATCAATTTAAGACTCAATAAATAAAAAATTGATAATAGAATAAAAGACAGTTTAACTGGCCCAAAAGAACTGAAGCGTTGTTTCTTAAAGGCAGGCTAGGCTATTTTCTATTATACATACATGCCTATTGCTCCTTGCATTTTGAATTATTTAAAAAAAAATATGAAAGCACAATCCTCAAATAAATAATCCTATCATTTAATCTCAATTACTGTAAGGCAGGATCACCTAAACCTGTACTTGTAATCCACAAATTTAAGATAACAAATTTAGGGGCTAAACTCTATTGATCACAACTGGATCAACTTTCTGATACAGCCATCTACTTTAATGAAAAAGGCAATGTTTCTCACGTGGCATTTTAACGATCAAAGTAAGATTGTGAACTACTTCCAATAAGGATGGAACTTCAAACACATTGCAATTTCAGTTCTACCTTACCATCTGGCAGCAGTTTCTAAAATTTCACCAAGAAATTTATTCTACTTTTACAAACGTAGTACAAATTATGCATTTTTCTTCTACTTAAATTTTGTTTTTCCATTTACATTATCTTGATGATGGCCTTGACAAAGTCCTCTTATAGTAATCTTTAATATGTTGTAAATACCTTTAAGGTTGGTTTTTTTTAAAACAAAAATTATATTTTGGCCCTAGTTTTCTCCACTTCATTTCTGCTTCCAAAATTCCAAGTGATTATAAATTACAATATACTGGGGAGTAGCAGGGCTCTCTTACCACTTCTATATTCCAAAATCTGCACGTGAAAGACTTCTAACCCTCCAGAGGAGAAGAGGAAAGAATAATAGAAGAATCTTCCCAAGTGTTGGTGACTAAATTCAAATATTTATTTATACATACATACAAAGCCTATATGATGATCCGATCTGAACTGAATGGTTTACTGATCTCCAAAACAAGAATAAGATGAAAGACTAAACACAATGTAATCAATGTAATAAACATAAACATAATGTAATAAATAACACCCCAAGCGTCATAATACAATCATCTCCTAGGACAGGGGTCGGCAACTTTAAACACTCAAAGAGCCACAAACAGGGTGGATTTGATTTAAATCGAGTTGATTTAAATCACAATTTAAATCATGATTTAAATCACTAGTAAAAAGGCTTGATTTAAATCAACTCGATTTAAATCATAATTTTTAAAGAGCAACTGCTACTCCTTTGACCCACTGTTGACTCCCCGATAGTCCCAGTGTTGCAGAATATACAGCCTCATGCTACATAACTAAGCTCCATTTCATGCTGAATAAACTAAATTATTTATGTATCTTAAACAGAAAACTATTTTACGATAGATTTTTATCCCAAAAGTTTTTTATTAAAATAAATTCGATAAAAATAAAAAAAAATCCGATTTAAATAAAAAAAATCTCATTTAAATAAAAAAAATCTGATTTTTTTGATTTTTTTAAAAAAATCATTGATTTTTATCCACCCTGGCCACAAAGGTCCTAATCGGAAGCCCCCCATTCAATTCTGGAGCCGACTGGAAGTCCGGTTCCCACACCATAGTCTCCTCCTAGCATGGCGTCCTTTTTCCTCTACCTGTCCTAACCAAAAGCCCTATTGATTGTGGAGCCGACCGGCAACAGGGAGCCGCAGCAGAGGGATGAAAGAGCCACATGCGGCTCCAGAGTCATGGGTAGCTGACTCCTGTCCTAGGAGAAATTAAGATGACCCACAGGGCTCTCAAAGAAATAGCCAGCTCAAAGGTGCTTTGAAAGACTAGCAGGACTTTGTAGTCTGTCTGCTCTTAAGAGAGCATCATTCCAGAGTTGGGAGGTAGTGACTGTACAGGCCTAACCTGGGATTCAGGTAGGTGACATTCCCTAAGGGACAGGATGCAGAGGGAAGCTTCTAATCCAGATATGAGAGTATTTTATTGTCAAGCCTACTAGCATCTCATATTTGGATGGTACGAACGCAGGGTGGCTTCTGAGCAGGCTTTCCAATATTCAAAAAAAGAAGTCATATACTGTACATCAGCTGCTGAACTCAGAAACCTCACTTTCACTTATTCCCCATCATATGGTTAACACAAAGGACTGTAACTACTGACATATCCTATCACAGAGGTCTTCAAACTTGGCAGCGTTAAGACGTGTGGACTTCAACTCCCAGAATTCTCCAGCCAGCTATGCTGGCTGGAGAATTCTGAGTGTTGAAGTCCACACGTCTTAACGCTGCCAAGTTTGGGGACCCCTGTCCTATCAAGTTCAAAACTGAAACAATGCAGACCTTGAACAAATAACATTCAGCATATTCCTAAAGATTAATACAAGAGCAAGTTGAAGACTTCAAACTGCTGTTTAATATCTCAACTTTCTTACTAAGAGGTAAGTAACTTCCAATTTCCTGAGCATTTTAAGCAAGACCCATGAAACAAGTGGAGATAAACAGCTTAACTATAGTAAGTGTGCATTCCAGTCTCACTATAAAAGAAATGAATATTTTTTTTGTTAAAAAAAATTGCACGTGACTGGAGACTTGCTAGAGAATGCAGAACCTAGTTTGAAGAAACACATTCGTTTAATCTCAAATGGATTCTTAAACGGCACGTAACAAGGACCAAAACAGGATTTTTGATGCAGGGGCAAGTACATATTTTCTAGTCTACCCTGTAACCACTTGCTATTCAAGTCGTGCCATGGATTTGCTGGAGAAGATACACCTGTTAAAACATCTCATAAATGTTACTGGCAAACTTGGAAAAAAGTGTTTTTCTCCGGAAGTGCTGTTTCACGTGATAATCTTGTGCAAAAGAAAAGATAAACAGCAGTAGAAGACAGCGAGAAGTATTGGCCAACCCACTCTGGAAAATTAGTCACAGATCCTATTTGCTCTGTCCCAAATGGGGTACACACAACACACAAGAGGGAACAAAAGTACAAAGTACAAAGAAACACCAGACAAAGTGTAAGGACCCCTGTCTTACACACATGATGTTTCTAGAGCTTGGACTGTATCAAAATTATCCTTGCCCAAGCTGGTGATTTTTGGGAAAGTTGGACTACAAAACGTATTATCACTAGCGGCACATACTATGGCCCAAACATTAGGAAGGGGAGAAGTTTAAAGACCGTGGTCGAACACTCACAGTATTTTCCCAGTGAACACAAACCACAGCAAGAACAAAATACACATCTTCCAATCCCAAACTTTATCAATTACTTTCTTTTCTGTAGCCTTTTATGGAAATGCCCCTGTCTACCACCTCTGTCATCAAATGGTTTCATTAGATTTATTTATTTTTTTTCCTTACCCAATAAATAGTAACCAATGAATGACCAACAATATATCCAACCAGGATTTGTAGCCAAAGAAAACAACTGAGCCATCAACAATCGAAGAGGCTTAATGCTAGCCCTTTCCAAACTGATCGGTGGCAATCCATCCCCAAATATAGATCTCTTTTATTGGGGGGGGGAGGTGTAGAGGAGATCCACCAAGCTCATTTCTCCGTCCCATGCTCCCCAAACCAAGTGCAACCGGATTACCCACAGCTTCTTTAATTTGGGGTGTCCTGCAGAGGAGCAGCAACGACTCTGGCTTGATTAAGGTGCTAATTAGGCACTCCTTTGATCCTTTTTGTTTACTTCAAGGGGTGAAGGGACGACAAACCACCCCCTTAATTAAAAGGAAGGAAGGAAGGAAGGAAAGAAGGGAGGAAGGAAGGAAGGAGGGAAAGGAAGGAAGAGAAAAAGGAAGGGAGGAAGGAAAGGAAGGAAGGAAGGAGGGGAGGAAGGAAGGAAGGAAAAGGACAGGAAGGAAGGAGGAGGAAGAGGAAAAGGAAAGTGGGGGAAAAGGTAGGAGAGGAGGAAAGGAAGGAAGGAAAGAAGGGGAAGGAAGGAAGAAAGGACGGAAAAAAAAAGAGGGAGGGAAGGGAAGGAAGAGAAAAAGAAGAAGGGAGGAAGGAAGGAAGAGCGGGAAGGGAGGAAGAAAAGAAGGGAGGAAGGAAGGAAAGTGGGGGGAAAGGCAGGGAGGAGGAAAGGAAGGAAGGAAGGGGAAGGAAGGAAGGAAAGAAGGGAGGAAGGAAAGAAGGGAGGAAGGAAGGAAAGTGGGAGGAAAGGAAGGAAGGAATAAGGGGAAGGAAGGAAGGGGAAGAAAGGAAGGAAAAGAGGGAGGGAAGGAAGAAAAGAAGGAGAAAGGGGAAAGGAAGGAAGGAGAAGGGAGGACGATGGGCGAAGGTAGGGAGGAGGTAAGGAAAGAAGTGGAAGGAAGGAACGGAGGGAGGAAGAAGGGAAAGAAAGAAAGAAAGGAGGGAGGAGGAGGGGGAGGAGGAGGACCAGCCCTTCCCGCCCCCCTCCCCAAAGCTCAGGGGGGACCCCGGGCCCCTTCCAGCCCCCACCCTTCCCTCTGGGGCAGCCCCTCAACTCCCAAGGCGCTTCCACGCCCTCCCAGGGGGCCTTTCCAGGCCAGCGCCCCGTCCCCACCGCAGGCGGCCCGTCCCGCTGCGCCAAGAGCCCCGAACAGGCCCGGCCAGGAGGGCCTCCCTCGCTCACCCGCGGGGCATCGTCCTCGGAGCCTCCCTCGGGGTCGCCTGGGTCCGAAGCGCGTCCCCCGGCCGAGGGAAGCGGAGGCCTAGACGGGGCGGGGAGAAGCGGCGGCGGCGGCGGCGTCTGCTCACTTCGACGCCCGGGCCGAGTGGAGCCGCCGTCGGTCCTCTTACGGCGCCTTGCGATGGCCCACGCGCATGCGTGGGAGAAAGAGTGGGGGGGGGAAAGAGAGAGAGAGGGAAAAAAAAAGAACAGAGGCTCGGGCGCTCTCTCTCTCTCTCTCTCTTGGGAAGGGAGGGGGGCGCGCCTTGGATTGGGGTGGTTCCAATCACGGCTCGGGAAAGGAGGCGGGCGCCGCCCAAGGGGCGTCGAGGCGTCCAATCAGAGGCGGCCGGAAGGACCAGCTTTGGAGAAGAGAAATAAAGAGTCCGGCCGTCGAGGGACGCTTCTTCGCCCTTCCCCGGCGGAGGTTGCCGAGCGGGTTCGGGAAACTCGTCCCCCCCCCCTTTTTTTTTTTCAATTCTCCGCCCTAACGCACCTTTTCTAGGGATAGGGCGTGTCAGTCCCAGCCCGAGCCCTCGACGGAAATTGCCGAAGGTGGCGCTAGGCGACGAGCGAGATGTTTCTTCGCCTCCGCCTGCCTGGCACATTGCGAGGGGTGGGGGGTGAGGGGTGGGGGGGCAGAGAGAAAGGAACGTTCCTCGGGCCTCCTGCGCGCATGCTCCGTAGCCTTTCAAGCCACAGGGGCCGAGAGCAGAAGAAAAGAGGCGGGGGCGGAGGAGGAAAGACGCAGCTCTTTCCCCCCCAAAAAACGGCTTTGTGGTGGCTCTACCGTCCCTTGAAAAACTACATTTTCTCTATAATATAATAAATATAATATAATATAATATAATATAATATAATATAATATAATATAATATAATAATACAATACAATACAATACAATACAATACAATACAATACAATACAATAATAATATAAACGACATTACATACTAGTGTTTAATGAAAACCACAATTTTGTTATATTTCATTGCCTTGGTTACATTTTTATTCATTTGGTTCCCAGGCTAGGATTAGGGCAGACTATGCCGTAGTGGCCAAAATTGTGGAAACCTTTTGGAAAAAGTGTATTTTTGAGGTTTGATGGCTAATAACACCACTTTTTTGGGGGGGGGAGTTTCAAGATAATCCTATTCCACTGCTGGAATGGCCTGGGAATAGCCCAGACCTTCACCCAATTGAAAATCTATAGAGCCGACTAAAGAAACTTGTTAGTCAGAAGCGACCCAGCAATAAAACCCAGTTAATAGGAGCCATCATTCAATCTTGGTTTCACATTAGAACAGCTGCAGAACTAAAAGACTTGGTTCACTCCATGGGAATTTGTAAGACTGTCATTCATGCTAAAGGTTACCCAACTAAGGATTCACTGACAGGATGATCATTTTTGTATGTCTCGTTTTTTCTACATGTTTCACTTTTCTTCTTTATACTGTAACTGCTATTCTAACAGCAAAACCTTCATAAAAGTTAATTGCATTACATTCTTGATTAAATTATCTTTCCATCGATGTATAATTTTATGGTACTACTCCAAAAAAAAATTATTAGCTAGTTTTAGAAAATACAGTTTGCCCGAAAGGTTTCCACAATTTTGGCCGCTACTGTAAATGCTTTCTGAGAAATAATTTGCCTATCTCTGACCTGAGATTTGTAGAATGGGTGGCCTAATCAATATTTTAAGGAAGCCAAGCAAAATAAATAAATGAGGCATATGGTCTCTGTAGTGGATTTTCATTTTTTGGATGAGAAAATTGAAAAAAATAAATAAAATAAAATTGAGAAATGCCTCCCATGGAAGAAAATTCCTGGGCTTTACCTTGAATTGGCTTGAATTGGCTTCCCCAATGCCCAGATTCATTTCTCTCACCATGTACATGTATACATCTATGTCATTTCTCTATGTCATATATGTGGGTATATGCATAATTTTGTATTTATTTTGTCATGTTTATGTAGCGTATATTGGAGGTGGAGACCCTTTGAGAGCTGTATGTAACGAAATCTCATCTTAATGTATGCTGATTAATGTACATTCAAAATGACAATAAAGTTATTCTAAGTCAGAGAGAGAGAGAGAGAGAGAGAATGGAAACAGTCTTACACCTACAACCTCTGTTTGTTTTGTGCATGAATCACAATGTCATAACGTAACAAATAACATCTGCTGAATCAATTGCAGTTTTGCAATCTACTAATCTGTGGGATTCAAATTTTTTTACTGCCGCTTCTGTGGGCGTGGCTTGGTGGGCGTGACATGGCATGGCTTGGTGGGTGTGGCTTGGTGGGTATGGCAGGGGAAGGATACTGTAAAATCTCCATTCCCTCCCCACTCCAGGGAAGGATACTGCAAAATCCCCATTTCCTCCCGATCAGCTGGGACTCAGGAGGCAGAGAATAGATGGGGGCGGGGCCAGTCAGAGGTGGTATTTGCCGGTTCTCCGAACTACTCAAAATTTCCACTACCAGTTCTCCAGAACTGGTCAGAACCTGCTGAAACCCACCTCTGCTACTAACGTTATTTAATTTTGCAAGATATAAATATATTGATGACTCCCAACAATCTTTCATGGTAGGGATGGCCAGCTATGATTCCCTCTATGACCTGTGGACTTGAAAGAGGCCATAGCTGCCCACTCCTCTTCCATGGGACTCAAACTGCTTATTCCATACCCTGCTCTGTTTTTCTACACCTCCTTTAGAACATCCTAACCTGTGTTTATCAACAGTTACTACAGGTTTAATTTGCATGTGTGTGTAATTCATACTGTGGCCTAAGCTGTTTTTTTTTTTTTTTTTAGCATCTTGGTAAATTAACTCCTAGCCCAAACAAACTTCATTCCCCACACCCCCTTCTCTTAGTTCATTTGTCCTAAACCTCAAGAGGATCTTCATGAAGGAAAATTGCAAATTTGCAAAACCTTGCACTGCAAAAACCCAGGAAAGGATTCCACCCATGAGTGGGCTGTGGCTGAATGGGAATTCTCCCAGAGCTCTGGGTTACCTGGAAATTAAGTATCCATCCCAAATATCCTTCTTCTGAGTAATGTTTTATTTTCCAGACTGGGAGATTCCACCTTTATAGGAAAGGTTTTTCGGCATCATCAGTGTTCTGCTTAAAAACTTGAGAACGTTTAAAACTGCGAACTGGTCACCCATGGGCAAAGTTGCTTGGTCAGTGGAATCTGTGATTGGCAGAAGGAAGAGCTCAGACAAATTTAGTTATAAATGAAGCTTTCTCACGGTATGTGAATGTGTGCCTTTTTCCAGTGGCCGCCACAGATGCCTATGCTGGTTTAATTCCAAATATCCTATTTTAGGTGAATACCTGCTTTGTTTAAAAAGGGCTGTCAAATGTGGGCTGCAATGATACAGGGGACCATCAGAGGGCAGCAAAGTGACATTTAAAAAGTGAAATATTGTGCCCTCTAATGGTGGTCCAGATTTTTGCAGCTTAGCACAGCCACCTCTAGTTTGATGTAGCAATATGGCCAGTTTGACAAAACATTCTAAAACCTGACAGTTTAATTGTTTCCTACACAATTTAAAACCTGTTACCAAGAGTGATAAAGATGCCCAGCCATATAAAAGCCACAACTGAGTTTTCTTTTTACTGAAAAAGGACATTTTAGCTAATGAAATGAATACACGGGTGGCTATGAATGGATGTGTAAATATGCATTTAATGAAATTATCTACAATGGGTTAATTCAAATTATTGATGAAAGACATACTCTCTTATGAAGGTCAAGCTTTCAGATTTCTTTGAGGAATTGCAAACCCCATCTTTCTTTCTTGCCGTTCAGCAAAGGGGAGAAAACTTATTCATGTGAAGTGCTAGTACCACTTTATAAAGCCTTAGTAAGACCACACCTGGAAGACAGCATCCAATTTTGGTCACCCACATTACAAAAATGATGTTGAGACTTTGGAAAAAGTACAGAGAAGAGCAACTAAGACGATTAAGGGCCTGGTGACAAAAAAATGTGAAGAATGGTTGCCAGAATTGGGTATGGCTAGTCTAGAGAAAAGAAGGACTAGACATGACATGACAGCAGGATTGCAGTATTCCAGAAGAGAGGGGTCAATCTATTCTCCAAAGCACCAGAAGGCAAGACAAGAAACAATGGATGGAAACTAATCAAAGGAGAGAAGCACCCTAGAATTAAGGAGAAACTTCCTAACAGTGAGGACAATTAACTAGTGGAACAGAAGTTGCCTTCAGAAGTTGTGGGTGCTTCATCACTGGAGGTTTTGAAGAAGAGACTGGACAGCCACTTGTCGGAAATGGTATAGGGTCTCCTTCCTAAGCAGGGGGTTGGATTAGAAGACCTCCAAGGCAGGTGTGGGCTGCTGGGGGTTCGCAGGTGTTCAGGAGGACCTCTAAGATTCTGCACAGTTCGGAGAACCTCCAAATCCCATTCCTGGCTGCCCCCCCGCCCCTCCCAGGAGTCCCCACACGGCCCATTTTGGATGCAGGTAAGTGCAGGGTGTGTGCGGAGGCTCGGGAAGGGCGAAAAATGGGCCTACCGGAAGTTCGGGAAAGCCTCCAGAGCCTGGGGAGGGCAAAAACATCACCCCTTGTGGTGCAGGAGACCGATTAGCCCACACTCACCACGGCCACGGCCACCCACCAACCGGGCAGAGGACCCCTTGCTAAAATTATCGAAGTCCACTCCTGCTCCAAGATCCCTTCCAGCTCTATTCTGATTTATCCATTGTTATTGGACAAATTCCCCCTTGAAGAATTAAGAAAACAGCTGGAATCAATTGGAACGGGCACCACCCCCCAGATGTCTTATTTTTAAATTTGTGTTTGAAATCCAGCAGTAAGTAAAAACGGCAGTTTTAAGAAACGCCGTGATTTGTCTTTATGAGTACTGACTGAAGGTAACCTTGGCGTGTGCATAAATGTTAACTGTCAGTGCAGTAAAATGTCACTGTGGAAGGTCTCTGTTCAGAAAAATAAACAGTCGCCTGTTCCCTTTTCAAGGAGCCTGAAGGATTTCAAACCCTTGGAGTTCAGCTTCCCACCCCAATGTTTTTTTTTTTTTTAAAAAATATTTTGAAATTGTGTTTATATTTCTGCAAATCTCAGGTTTTTCTGAAGGTTCCTGTGGTCTCCGGGTGGCATTTGAAACAAACTTGTTGCAGCCTTCAGAT